ATATATATATATATATATATATATATACACATACATACACACACATACACATATACACACACACAAACACACAGTATATATATAATTCTGTCTCTGAGCTCTTCAGGCAGTTCCTTTGACCTCATGATTCTCATTTGCTCTGACATGCACTGTGAGCTGTAAGGTCTTATATAGACAGGTGTGTGGCTTTCCTAATCAAGTCCAATCAGTATAATCAAACACAGCTGGACTCAAATGAAGGTGTAGAACCATCTCAAGGATGATCAGAAGAAATGGACAGCACCTGAGTTAAATATATGAGTGTCACAGCAAAGGGTCTGAATACTTAGGACCATGTGATATTTCAGTTTTTATTTTTTAATAAATCTGCAAAAATGTCAACAATTCTGTGTTTTTCTGTCAATATGGGGTGCTGTGTGTACATTAATGAGGAAAAAAAATTAACTTAAATGATTTTAGCAAATGGCTGCAATATAACAAAGAGTGAAAAATTTAAGGGGGTCTGAATACTTTCCGTACCCACTGTATATATATATATATATAATTATGTACTATATATACTTACTTTCACACAAATTATGCTGATTATATTATTGAATATAATGAAAAAATATGAATTTAGATTTTTCAGGGTTATGTTTTGTATTGTACAATTGTACATCATAGACAATTATACAATTAGGACCTAATTTTCCCTTGTTTTCTAGATGTTTATATAATATACTTCTCTCTCTATTTTTGCGTTAGACACTAATGCAAAAATCCATAATTCTGCTCTCCTGCATTAATTGTTTCATTGCTGTTGTCCAATATTAAAAGTGTAATTTATGATGGTGGTGGTTCTTGGTTCAAAGCTAGATTAATAGCACTAATATTGTTCAGTGTATGAATGAGCCATCTGCTTCAGTGTAGATCTAAGCACGTCTTGGGAATTCGCATACTTATCTGCACATAATTCTTGTGCTGAAAGATTTTTGTTTAAATATGTGATGTGAGAAATATGTAACCAGCAATTGTGTAATCATGATAAGATGGTGCTGCATTGATCATGGATTGTTAGAACTATTTATTGACTGAGGTGACAGGAGATGGTGTTAAAGTTTGGTGCTGAACTTTGAGAGTTGTGCTGTAATTGCTTGGGTTCTGTGGGATCCAGAGGGTTCTGAATGATATTTGCATTCAGGGTTGGTTCCACTGCAGAGAGATAGAGAGGCCTTTGCGTTCTGATTGGTGGAGGAGTTGCTAGACAACAGATGTCTGGCCTGTTGGTAGGTGGACTACCTGTGGAGCTGGGGGTGGGGGCAGTTTATTAGTGATAGAAGGAGAGAGTTGTGATAAACTGATAAAAAAATGGGTAACTGAGTGATTTGAGCTAATGTGCATGCTATTTTATCCCCCTCACCCTCTTCACAACTTAATTTATTCCCTCCATCTGAACAAAAATGAGAGAAGGAGCTGAATGTGGCCTAAGGCTGAGCAGAGCTATTCATTTATGATCTCAATTCAAATTCAAATAAATCATGTTTTCATGTGATTCACCAGGCTTCATTTCACAACGAATCAGCTGCGATTATGGCTACGTGCAGAATTGCATACTAGCATGCATCTCATGCTATTTTAGCAGTATTTTATGCATACTGTGCACAGTACACATTAAATACCTGAATGACATTTGCCAAAATGTGCAGTATTCATGTATTTTGTGAGTCTTTCATTTCTAGCATAACAAATTACCCTTTCTTTTTAAAGGGCAGCTTAAAGAGATAGTTCCCCTAAAAATAAAAATCCTGTCATTATTTACACACCTTCAAGTTGTTCCAAACCTGTTTACCTCTTTCATTTGTTGAGCTCAAAAGAAGCTATTTTGAAGAATGTTGGTAACTAGACAATTGATGGTAGCCATTGACTTCAGTAGCATGGAAAAAAAAACAATACTATTGAAGTCAATGGCTACCATCAGCTGATTGGTTACCAACATGCTCAACAGATGAAATAAATGACACGAGTGTGAGTGTTTCATTTTTGGGTGAATCATCCCTTTAACCCCAACACATTTTTACACAAAAATTAATTCAGAATGCAAAATAACCCTTTCTGGGATGAATTTAGCATGAATTTAGCATTCAGCGGAATGAGGTCCTGTGAAACAACGCAGCATACTACACTTTGAAGCATTTATCATTGCCTATTGACTGTTTCGTTTTCTAGGTAGGCAGTATATATGTACACTATGCAGTAAGGAGGCTTTATTAATTTGTTTATCTCTGTAATTGTCTTAATGGCTTGTTAATTTTATTGTGACTGATGTGAGATGCTTTGAATTCTGAATCGTGTCACATGATTCTTTGGAGAATTGTGTTTTTTTTCTGATTGCCAGTTAAGTTTAGTATGTTTTTTTAATATCAGATTAGTACAGAAGAGAGAAGAGCGCATGTGGTTATTTATAGTTTTCTGCAGGTCAGAGTGCCATCTGCCCTGAATACACCCTCACAGGCATCAAAACACTGTCCTCTGGTGGTGATTCAAAGATCTGCAGTCTCTCACACAAGCACTAGACGTGAAGCGCCTTATTGGTTGAAACATGTCCAGTATATCAGTTATAGTCTCAACAAATTGTTTTTTTGAATTCTGTTTCAGATCACCAGAAGCTGGAGAGAGAGGCCCGGATTTGCCGTCTCTTGAAACACCCGAATATTGGTAATGGATTCAGTTTTTCCCAAGACGTTTTTTTTTAATTTTTTTACCAGAGATTTGTATTACCTAATGGTAACTAAAGATGAGAAAATGACAGATAAAATTCTCTTTGTAGTTCGACTCCATGACAGCATATCGGAGGAGGGCTTCCATTACCTTGTTTTTGATCTGTAAGTATATTAATTCAGTCTCTTCCTTACTTCTTATTAGGCTTTCTTTTCTATCTTTGCTTTCTCAGAGTCGGTGTGGTTAGTATTAGACTGCCCCATTTACAAAGTGCTACTGATATTTATGTGATAGCAGGACAGTGCCCAGAGGGCAGCCTTCGGCAAATCTCTGAGTCAGTGAGCCCATTTTCAGCATTGCTTTATAGAAGTGACTTATAGAATGTTTTTTTTTTGTTGCTACATTCATACTGCAGCTGCATACAGTTGCCAGTCCTGTTTTAGAGTGTTAAATAGTTACGTTCACAAACAAATAATAAACTAACATGACAACCCCATTCTTATAACATTGCCCTTTAAGCTGTAGAATAATCCAATTTTTTAAACGTTTTTTAAATGTATTTTCAAGCTTATTTATTTGAAAATTATGGTAAAAAACAGCAATAGTGTTAAATATTAACATTGTTTTCTATTTGAATATATTTAAAACATTTAAATTAAATAACTGAAAATTATTTATTTTTTCAAATTAGGATTTGGTACTTAATTATCAGTTATTATTGGGGATCAATTATTATGATTCTTATATATTAATATCAATGTTTTTGCTGCTTTATATTTTTGTGGAAACTGGTACATTTTTTTCAGGATTCTTTCATGAATAGAAAGTTCAATGAACAGCATTTATTCAAAATAAAAATAAAAATATTTGAAATTGTCACTTTCGTACAATTTAATGTGTCCTCACTGAATAAAAGTATTTTAAAAAATCTTACTTACTGACTTACTGACTTTTGAATGCTAGTGTATCAAAAATATTGTTGATCAGCAAAAACTGTTTCAACAGTGATAACAATCAGAAAGGTTTCTTGAGTGCTAATTCAGTGTATTAAAATGATTTCTAAATGATCATGTGACACTGAAGACTGGAGGAATGATGCTAAAATTCAGCTTTGCCATCAGAAATAAACTTTTTTTAATATATGCAAATAGAAAACAGTTATATTAAATTGTAATAATATTTAACAGTATTACTGTTTTTACTGTATTTTTGATCAATTAAATGCAGCCTTAGTGAGCATCTTTTAAAAACATTAAAATCACAATTATTACAAACTTTTGACTGGTATGTTATTTTATTGTATATGAACAGGACAATTCAAGTCACATCTGTTTGTGAATACGGTTGTCGATCCTAAACACTGGCTGTATGAATATAGCCTTTGAAATAGAGCAGACCAGTGAATTGTGATGACTCCTGTCTGCATGACATCAAGAAATGTCTTCTGTCGTGAATGCTTATGTTGTAGTTTTGCTAGTAGCTGATGTGGCTGATGGGAGAAAGGCAGGCAAACAGAGAGGAGAACACAAGGACAAACAAGCAGAGAGAAACAAGAAGAGAGACACAAGCTGTCATATTCACTAATATTCAACTGTTTGTGACCCAGATTCACACAGTATGACAACCGCTTGCACTGCTATTTTTGAATACTGTCAGATTTTGTACGAATAAACATACAGTGTTGATTTTTAGTTTAGGCTTTGAATAGAGCTCAACAATACAGCTCACTTTGTCATTGGACTATAGCTTACAGAAGCTACAGCCAAACAGTACAATGTTACAAAATATAGAAAAACACTTTTCAAACAAGCATTGTTGAAAGACATAATGGAATTAGTCTTGTTAGTCTGTTTAAATGCTATAACATCTCATATTTGGCAAATGTAGATAGGTTGTCCTTAGCAAATCTGTTGTTTCAGTTACAAATGTTGATATAAATTGTTGCTTCTCTAATTCAAATCATACTAAAAACTCTATTTTTCAGGTAGGTGAAATGTAAATGCATGTTGTAGAGTACAACGACCAGGCAATTCCTTGTGAAAATTAATTTTTGCACTTTAATTAATAGTACATAAATAGTGTACTTTAATTCTCAAAAGTATATATATTTTTTAAATGTTGTACTTGCAGATATAATATTAATGAAAGAAAAGGCCACTTAAGTGTGGAGAGAGAGCTGTTTCGTAACACACTTCAGTATACTTAATATTGCCAAAATAAAAGTTTTACTTAAAAAATAAATTTTAAAGCATTGTTTTAATCATGTTTTGTCAGGCTTTACAAAAGTACACTTATTTTAATGTGTTGACTGACATACTACAGTACATGTAATGTATTTAATGTAATATAATTTCATCTGTAAGTTTAAAGTTAAATTATTTTAAATGTACTAAATTCTAACGGCCTATTACAAATGTGTAAATACAAATATACTTAAATGTATGCATGACATTAACAGTAACAAGCAAATAACAAGTGTGCAGTTCACACCTAAGTATATTATTTAAAAATATATTATTTCTGTGATATGTACTTTTTTTTATAAAAGTATGCTAAAGCATGCTTCTTTTTTTTCACAAGGGATGTCTTTGCTTCAATCAGTGTGCTTTTTTGATTAAAAGGTCCTTTCCACAGACACCATGTTGAGTGTCACCATAATGGTCTGTCTACCTCCATCATACTGTCTATTGTTACTCTACTCTACAGTGTAATTATCCACCGCTATCTTGCAAAAACTCCCCACTGTGGGGACTATGGTAATTACCATTTCTATGGTAACAGTGACTTCTCTGATTGCTGAATCTGACTTCAGGACTTTTAGGATTCAGGATAGAAAAGCGCTTCATCAGGAATGAAACATATTTTGAAATTACATTGCTTTTATGAAAGCATGTAGCAAAAGAAGAAAAAAAACAATAACTTTACATATTGACCTTTGACCTCAGGGTTACTGGAGGTGAGCTGTTTGAAGACATTGTAGCAAGAGAGTACTACAGCGAGGCTGATGCCAGGTAAGAACATTCAGACAGACATATTATAACAGTAGCGCATTAGAACATTCATAACGTCAAGTTTGTTCTATATAAAATATGCTTACAGACAGTTCTTTTAGGTCGCACACATTTGTGAGCCTGTTTCGCTGTGTGCAAGTTATTTATACCGATGATAAATTATACACTGCTTGCCTTCACAGCCTCGCCTCCTTGAGTGTAATTTTGCATGTGTAAAGGAAAATGTGCTTGTGTGTCTTTGGGGCTGGAAAAGAAAGTGTGTGGCATGTTATTTATAGATGATTAATGACTGCATGCATTCATGAATGTATAATTCTATGTACAATCCTCCACAACTTCATAAAAGGTTGATAAAGTCCCTATTATCTCTATTTTCCTCTAAGTTCCCTCTTTTTACTGATTATGTTGCTTGATTTTTTTTGTTACTTGTGTTCCTTCCGCCTGCCTTTGTCACACTTCCCCTCTGTCTTACCTTTCTCTTTCACTGCCTCTCTCTCTCTCTTAGTCACTGCATTCAGCAGATTTTGGAGAGCGTTCATCACTGCCATGTTAATGGGATCGTCCACAGGGATCTGAAGGTCAGGACACACACACACACACACACTTATGCTTCTCCAGACAGTGGTGCTCAATGTAGCATAGTCCAGTACCAAATTTAGCACAGTCTGATGTAGCCGGATCTCGTATTGTCGAACAGAAAATAGCCTTGCTGTGTCTGAGAATTTAATATTGTATCCTTTCATCTACTGAAATCTTCACAAAGCCTTTTAGCTAGTGAAAATCAATCCACATTTGTGCAGATACAATTCAGACTTTGACAGATTTAGCTTTTTTGTTCTTTGGCCAAAATGTCTTTCAACCTGCTGAGAAGGAATGAGTCATCATAGCATGGCTGTGCTGTTAATAAACCTTTTATTCAGTAAATAGCTACTTTTAGAAAAGTCATTACATAAGGGAGAATTAAGACCATTTAGTGATATGCTTGTGTGTCTCTATGCTGTTCTTAAAGCCTGAGAATTTGCTGTTGGCCAGTAAGATGAAGGGGGCAGCAGTTAAGCTTGCTGACTTTGGTTTGGCCATAGAGGTCCAGGGTGACCAGCAGGCATGGTTTGGTAAGTACCACAAAAAATAGATAGAGATAGATAGATAGATGTGCGGAAGTAGTGCTGAAGTCCAGCTAAAGATATACTTAAGTATATTTGATTGTGCTAAAGTGGAACTATTGCAAGTATACTTCAGGTACACTTTAAATTTAAAATGTTAAGCATTTATGCATTTCTTGCATTTAAAGACTGATATTATAGATCATACAATCCTTATTAGTAGTGATATTAAAACACTCAGGCGTAATATTAAGAAATGTGCATTGTGCGATAAAGAAATACTCCAAATAAATTTTATATATAAGTTTTTATATCAGCAAGTATTAACTGATATGCCAATAAATATGCTAATGGATTTGGAGTATGCTCAGTTTGAATAATTATATTAATTATATTTTAAATAGAAAAGTTCAGTTGTTTGGGGCCAGTATGTCTTTTTTTAATAATAATACTTTTATTCAGCAAGGATGTTAAATTTAATTATGGATATGTTTAGGACATTAAGTACATTTAGTACATTGCTATCTTGGCAACTAGCCAAAGTAAAGTAACGAAAATTTATTTTTTTAATGGTTTTAGTTTAACTTTAATAACCTGGCAACACAGGTATAAATTACATTTTAATATATATTAAAATAGAAAACATTCATTTAAAATTGTAATATGAACAAGAATAACAAAATTAATGTTTTACTGTATATTTGATCATATAAATGCAACCTTATTTTTCATAAGAGACTCACAAACATTAAAAAATCTTACAGGCCCCAAACTTTTGAATGGTGTATGTTTGTACTTTTTATAATGACGTGTATTTAATTAAAACAAGTTTGCTACAAAAAATAGTTCTTGATTAGTACGTAATCAGGATCAGTCGAGGCTGCAAAAACAGAATTTTATAGGGAACACTGTTTTATTAGTAATTTTGCTGTAAACATTTTTGCATGACTAAGCTTATACATGCCACCTGGGCAAAATACACTTTTAAATATTCTACAAAATAATAATTTAATACTATAGAAACGGCTTCCTTATTTTTCTAAACTGCTCTCTCTGTTCAGGTTTTGCTGGTACTCCAGGGTACCTGTCCCCAGAGGTCTTGAGGAAAGATCCTTATGGCAAACCGGTGGACATGTGGGCCTGCGGTAAGGGAGGAATGAGTCACAAAAATATCAGACTCGTAAGTGAGTCGGTGTGATGGATGTCACTGTTGAAGCTCATTAACTGATTATTAAATTATTGCAGCCTGAGTTTTTAAGCAGCATTGAATCTAATCTGCTAAATGGAGTGTGCCTGGCAAATTGTCTTTCTGTTTTTAGGCTTAAAACTAGTTAGTCCAATTAAAGCAGTTGAATGAATGTTTCAATTTAGCCTTGATGTTAAAATGATTGCACAATTATTCAAATTCACCATTAGGAAGTTCTTCCCATTTAAAAAAGATGTTAGATGGTAATACCATGGTGCTTTCTGAATGGTACTGAATTATTACCGTAATCGTGTATCATACCTCGGGACTGTCATCCAAAGTTAAAAGCAACATTACTATGGTAGATGTCCAAAAAATATAGTAGTACCAGAGTACCATGTTCATTTGATTCCACCGTACTCAGTGTTTGAATATAACTGATTAAGTACAGACATCTTAGCTGAATTTATGACCAGATTATTTGATACTCAAGCATTTGCTTGAAGAATATTCCTCTCTCAATGTGGCCGTAATAGTATATGTGTTTCATAGGTGTGATTCTCTACATTCTGCTGGTTGGATATCCACCATTTTGGGATGAAGACCAGCATCGCCTCTATCAGCAGATTAAGGCTGGTGCATATGACGTGAGTCTGAATTTCCAATGATTTGCCTGCACAGTGTTCACTACAAGATTATTAAAGCTATTACAGCTACAAATGCAACATCTGATTATATTGCTAAAAACTCTGATGATAAATTGATGTCATCTTCAGTTCCTTGGCTTCCTACAAATTCATACAAAAATGATTAAATGATGGATTCTTGTGTTGTATCTTATGTCTGTATGTAGTTTCCTTCTCCTGAGTGGGACACTAACCAGTGAGCTGGTTTGCTTGTTTGACACACTTCCCTGTTACTCCGAGATACTAATTACCCTTGTTTGCATGAAATCAAACAGATTACATTCATAACGTCAACTAGCATTTAGTCTTGAACGTACATGCAATGTTTTAAACAAAAAAAACTGCAAGTTTCAAATGCAAATATGCATTTTCAATAATAAAATACAAAACAAGTACGTTATGAATGTAATCACAATATAATAATTCTGAGTTATTGGGAGAGTAAACGTTTTCTGTCTTGCTCATAGAAGTATTTTGAATGCTCGATCATTTTCTGGTTACATTTCTGTCTGGATATGTTCATGTACATCCTGGAATGTTACATTTATATATACGGTATAATTCATAGGTTTAGCATTTACATATGATGGTTGTTACCAAAAATATAGTTGGAAACATGTTATAATAGAACGATAGAAAGCTTAGATTCAGCGTAATAGCTGTATGGTCGTCTGCACTTAATTTGTAATAAGCTGTATTCTAAAGCAACTTTTTTTTTCGAGGGCAAGTGTGTGCGCTTCTGTGAAATATATTTGCATGCTATTTTGGAAAAAAATATTATTTTTTACATTATATTATATATTTACAATATCTATGCACATAGCACAACAGTTCAATTATCATGACATTTATAAAGGTAATTAAATATATTTAATAGGATGATTTCTGTTATTTAAGGGTAAAAAAGTCACTTTTATATATTTTCCTGTTTACCAACGAGGAGATTACAGCCACAGACTGAGAAAATTGTACACAGTATATCACACATCCTACAACACACATCCTCTAAAAATAGAGTTGCTTATTTTGGTTTAAATTGTGTCCTGAGTTTAATATTTTCTATCCCTTAGCCGTTTGTGTACCAAGAGTCTCTATCCTAAAAATGAATTATTTGAATTGTTTCTCCTGCCTGAGGTCTTATGACACAATAAGGAGAACAATAATCCCAGAATGCCTGCTGCATGTGCCTTCATGGATTTATAATGTTATTATGCATAAATAATCATGGTTTCCTTTTATTTTTCATCCAACAGCAGCCAAGAGCTTGTTGAACAAGAAGTCAGATGGTGTGAAGGTGGGTTAAATCTGTTTCCTATTCATCTTTTGGCAAAACTAAGATGTATAAAGAACATCAGTACTTGGCAAAGCCTGAGAATAATCTTGCAGCAGAACATTGTGCATCCTTTAGGTTTGCATTTGTTTTTTGGACGTTTTTCCCAGAAATTCTGAGGTCTTTAATTGGATCAGTTTCCAATTCAACAACAATATAGTTAATATATTAGAGTGCTGTGTGGCATTTTGATAAATTCCATTTCAATTCCAATTTTCAGGTTTTATTTAGGAAATTGTTTACATTTTGGCAATAAAAGTTTATTTGGACCTTTCAGTCATTAATAAAATGTTTAGTTCCTTCCCTGAATTTGCTGGAAATTAAATGGAATTACCCATCATTGTCACTTTTAATTTTGAATGTGTATATGAATGTGTATTCCATTGTTCTAGCACTATGGGGGGAATTCACTAAAAATTATTTTTAGGGATTCACTAAAGAAATTATGCAAATCAAGTAAAAAGTACAGACACCATGCAGACAAACATATTTTTTGCTTCTGAATGCAGATCATTAGAAATAAATTGCAATCTAAATAAGCCTAATGTAGAAAGGAGGACTTGTTTCCTAAAATGAACAATTACTTAATTTGAATACATGGAGCAGCACTATGCCAGACAGCACAAAAGATGCGGGTTTTTGTGTTGAAATACTGTTTAGTGAATTTGCCCCATACTTTTCCCCCAATATGTTTCATTTCCCGAGTTTCTTGTTTCAGTTTGCTTTCTGTTCTAGAATTTTATTTTCTCATAATTTCTTCTAAAACAATTCATAAGAGGTTTCTGACACAAATTTAAAAAAATGTGATGTTGGTTTGTCGCATGTGTTACTCATGTGTCTTTTATGTCTTTATCAGATTTTACATAAGAAAAAATGAAATTAATTAGGCATCTCTCACAAAACATATTTTTAAAAATAAGTTAAGAAAGGATATAAATTATTTAAAAAAAAAGCCGTGTTGTTGTTAAAAAATATTAATAATGTGCATTGCCAATCACAACCTATTTTACTTTCATAATGTGACATTTTAAACAGGATATTCCACTTGAAAATATATAGTGGTGGGACTTGTATTTTAAGCATTAGAAAAGAATAACAATGCCTAAATGGCTATTTGGTTAACATTATCCAGTAGCCCACTGGCCACTTTGATTAATATTATAAATATATAATTTTTTTATAAAAAATGTTTGGGGGGGAGGGGTATTGTGCACTAATGAATCATTCACCATAAGACCTTAATGCAGAAACATGCAATAAGAAAGTAAATGGGTGCAATTCTGGTATATGGTAAGTATAAAAAGTTAATTTATAAAGCAAAAAACAGAAATTAATTAATTAATTAATTAATTTTGAAAAAATCTCAGGACCTTTAATTTTATAATTCAATTCTTTTGTTATTTGTGGCACAATTTGTGTTTGTGAGTTGCTGTATCATCAGATCATCCATCATCAGTTCCCTCGTGCGTATCTGTGTTCCTCAGTATATCTGTGTATTTCTACATCTGTGTATTTTGGATGCCCTGTCACAGCACTCCTGTTGTCCCCCAGTCTTGTGTAATTTTGTAACCCTAGTGTGATGCAGTAAACCCCATCAGTGTGATATTTGGTAATGTGTGATCTGCTCCTTGTCCCACTTGCAGGTTAACAACAAAACCAACCTAGCCAGCAGCCCCAAAGACACAGGCCCTGCCCCAGCACTGGTACCCACGACAACAACCCCGCCCCTTGCACAACATCACCCCTGTAGACCCTCCCCCTGTAACCAACAAGCCAGATTTGCTTACCTTTTCATCATACCACAATAGCTCTTTTCCAAAATCCAGTGAGCTGCCTTATTGTCTACTACCTACATAGGCAACTAGTTTCCAAGGCAACTATCAAACATTCTCATAAGTGATCAAATGAACACAAATGGCGTTCCTGCATAAAGCTAATTATACAATTCACATTTGATTCCAGCATATTTAAATGTTAGCATGTTGCTAAGCTAACACAAGCAGAAAACATATACCCAGATGTTGGGTGAAATACTGAAATTTTAATTAGGTTGTACTATTTTTCATGTTTCAGTACATACAGTACAAATATTTGTAGTCAATATTTCTTATGTTGCATTGCATTCTGGGATTGGTTTGTCTTAAAAGGATATTTATGATGCTGCCTTAGGATTTTGTCTAATGTTGCTGCCTATATTTTGGAACAGCTTTGGCATTGTTTGTCTAGATAAGCTAATAAGCTAATGCTTCACTTTTATGCCTTAAACTGAGTACAGTATTTTTAAGGTATATAAACTAACTTAAGATCATGTGAACATCATATTTTCATATCGAACTAAAATGAAAGACAACATATGCAAGGAAAACCAAGGGTTTGTAAATCTGGCACTGTTGGTGTGTCGTCTAACCAAAGTTCAGAGTCCTTGCATGATTTTACTCACCTCTCATGTCACCTTTATGTCACACATGTGTTGTTCTTCCATTTGAAATTCCAGGAAATTTAGGGTTGTATTCAATCAAATTGTCTTTGAAACATCAAAAGCGACTGCTGCTACTTGATGTTTTGCAATGATACAGTTTTATGGCATCTCAAGCACAAAAATCCATATAGTGCTTGTGGTTTTGCTTGCACAGTCATGGTGTATTGCCATTAGCCTACTATTTTTGCCCATTTGTATTTCCCATTTGTTTAAATCTTAATCTTGTTGAATCAGATTGTCTTTCTCTGGCAGATGCATAATTGAAGTATTGGAGTGAATGTTGTGCAGTGCATGGCTGGTGTTAGCATTGCTTTGATAGGGTCATACGCTTGGAGCTCTTTGCTGTCTGTAGCTTGACATTGTTTGCCTTCCATAATGACACAGACATGCATGTAAACAAATGTCTCTCAGACTGACGACACTGTGACGCACTTGTACTGACACACAGAGTGTTTCTCTCTCTCTTCTGTCACACACACACACACACACACACACACACACACACAGGCACTCAGTGGGTGATGTTTCTTAGACAAATGACAAGTGTGTGTATGTAATCTTCTCTAATCTGGTGGTCATTAGACAAGACATCATCAGTTCCACTTAGTCCTGCTCCAAGACCACCAGGCTGATTAATTACATTGTATCTGTCAGGGTATGTGTGTGTAAGTGTCTGTGACCTAGGGATCACCTCATAGCAGTGATCCACAGCTTGTTTGTTTTAAAGAAAGAATATATCATATTGCAGGAGAAAACTGATCCAAAATCTATAGAATTTCTTGCTAATTATTTAGTAATTACCATAAACAGCAAATCAGATAAATGGCAAGCAATGTATTTAAAAGACATATACAGTAATATATATATGTCCATGGTTTTCACAGATATAAAAATATGCCATATATTTGTACTATGTGTATTTTAAGCATACACTACAAATCAAACGTTTTTGAAAGTAGTATCTCATTCTCATCAAGGCTGCATTTATTTGATCAAAATACAGTAAAAACAGTAATATTTTCCCTTGTGATCCTTCCGAAATCATTCTAATATGCTGATTTGGTGCTCAGGAAAGATTTCTTATATCAATGCTGAATTATTGATGATATATTTTATATATTTTGTGTGTAATATTTGCCATATATCTGATTTCTGTATGGGGGCAGTTAGAGCTAAATGCTTTTGCTATTCCTTGTGCTTTTGTTAATTGCTATTTGGTATTGTATGTGTGCACATGATTGCACTTCATTATAAGTTGCTTTGGTAAGAAAATGCCTGCTAAAATATATTTTAAAGCTATGCCAGATCCAATTATACTCCAAACAAATTGGACATTTTTGTTCCATCTCTGCATGAGCCGAACTGGATAAGGAGCCATTTTAGAGAATAATGATATGACTAATGAGTCTACTTCCAAAATATTAGAGGACAAATGCACATGCATAGAGATTTCAGGTTTATTTTTGAGGTGTAGTGTTGGCGATATGCATGGAAAACTTTCAGCATGAATGGGAGGAAGAAGGCTGTGTGTGTGTGTGTGTTTTGGATGGGGTCATTTGCATTTGCAATTCCATGCATGTTGTGTCTGGTACACAGCCATTATATGCCATTATGCTTTATCAAGCTTCTTTTCCATATACAAATAATGATCTTTTTTCACTCCCTTTCACTATTTCAGGAGCCACAAACTACCGTGATCCACAACCCAGTGGACAGAAACAAGGTAATATGATGCATTTTTGTTAGCGGAGGTGTATCGAAAATAGCGACACCAAATGAGACTGTGTCCAGTGTCCAGTCTGAAGGTGATTCATATGTGTTCTTTCACATTTCTCCAGGAGTCTACAGAGAGTGCCAACACAACTATCGAGGACGAGGACCTTAAAGGTAAAGCTTGGCGTTTCCCTGGCCGCGTGTCTGCCCGTAGACGTGCCATTTGTTGCTGTTTTCCCTCCCCAATATGTCTTCCATCTGTGCTTCTCCTCAGTCATATGTACACTCTTTCTTGTTTATTTTCCCCAACAAATTTGTATTGCCCGTTGCAGCCATTCTCTTCTCCCCTTCATCCTTCGTTCGTTTCCCCGCATAAGGGTGTCTGTTTCAGTATTTCTTGTCGAGTGTGCTATTTGAAATGCCTTCTTTTTCGTTTGTCCTGCTCCTGTTGTTTCTTCCTCTCATTGGTTCAATGTACAGCCAGACGCTTTGGAAACCTCAGCATTAATTCAATCTGGCAACCTGCGGGCGGCCCGCAAAACTCCGAGCCCAAGCAGGCGCCCAACTCCTCGGTGCAGAGTAAGTCCGTAATGGGCAGGAGACAAAATCACCCCGTCCTCCCCTAACGTCGTTCAAAACCTTGTATGAACGAGAGGCCCCTCAACAAATCAAATCTGCCCTTTTAAGGATACTTTTTAATTGACAGCTCCAAACTTCATTCCTCATCAATGCTCCAAATGTTTTAATCCATCCAGCTGTTTCTATCAGACACACGTCTGTGTCTGCCTATTCTTCACGGACTGCGCATTTAAGGCCAAGAATATCATAAATCACAATAGTTATAAAGAACACATCAAATTCTAATTTAGCCTAACATTAAGACCATTTCATCCATCTGGTTTTCGAGAAAAAAAATGCCAACTCCAGTCTGTGAAGGAGAGGGAGACATAGATGCGTGTAGCATGTGTTAGATAGGCCTGATGGATTAAAAGCAAATCTCTGAATCAATAGAGAGATGCTCAAGTCGATGGGAAATCAGGTTTTAATGTGTAAGAACCAGAACGTTCTTTCAATGCACTCTTCATAAACAGACACCCTCTCACTGTCTCAAACGCTCTCGACGTGGGAGAAAGACTAGCGCTCTTCATTCTTGCCAGAAAACCACCTGACTGCCTTTTAGCTCTCTATAGGTGCTTGAGGCCTTCCGGTTGCACCACTAACAAACCCCTTCTCACCGAAAAGACTGTTCAGTTGACCTTTTGCCCCTGTGTCCTATAGGACTAGAGTCTGCATTATCCTGTATTGCACCCAACATTCCTAATACGGAGAGATCCACTGCACTAGGAGTGTACTTGCTCCGGTATTCCATCCTGCTCCATGCCTGAGAGCCTGATGTTTGCTCCTTCTGTTTAGTATCTCTCCCCCTTCCCACCAATCCAACCTGAAAAAAAAATCTAGATTTATTTGTGTATATTTAAACAAATAGACCCGCTTTGGATTTGTTTAAGCTCAGTAATATGGAATGGACCTAAACCAGTATTGAAAGGACAATACGCTGTTTTTCAACGTCAGATTCTGTTTGCACTTTATGTTGACATGACCATGAGACAAAAAGCATTTTGTCTAGATTCTGTGTTTCACATGATGAAATAAATATTTTTGATGTTATTTTAGGGCTGTCAATAGATGAAAAATATTAATTGAATTAAATGCAGTTTTCTGATTAATCAAATGAACTGCAGTTAAACATTTACATTAATTCCAATACATTTAGAAATGAATGTTAAATGTTTAAGACGTTAATCCCACTAAATAACACAATTGACAGCCCTGATTCTTTTACTATTGTTATTTTTTTTAACAAAACAAAAAAACATTCTGATATCTAATGAAACACAGAGGAGAATGGTGTTTCCACATATGCTAACAGCGGCATTATGCTGAATAATGAAAATGATGTTGAAAAAAAGGTTGAAGGCCCCATGTTACAAAGCATGTCCATGTTAAGAGAAAACAAGCATTAGACGGAATGCTTTTCTGAAGTAACGTCCTCTTTTTCTCATTTGAAAGCTGCAAACCCTTTTCCATCTCATTTGTCATTCAGTGCCTTCCGGGCGAAAGACATCAGCTAGAAGACGTATTCATGCCTTTTTTTCTTTTCATCTATTAATTTGCAGACACCATAAACTCAGTGCTGGAGAATGAGTGATTTAATGATATAATTAAGATTTCACATTAAATGAACTGTTAAATATTAAAAGTACAAAGTACATTTAACGTCTTTTTGCCCGGTGGGCTGGAGTTATTATGTCATCATCAGTAGACGTAGATACATTGCACTAGTTTTATTTGGTGCTTTCATAAGAAATTGCCTTTTTGACCAATTATGAGCCATCTCTTTGCTGTCCCTTAGCTTGCCAAGTTATCAATAAAGGTAAATTTAAACTTTAATACTTTGAATGAAAGTGTTGCCTGTGATTTTCTACCAGTAAACACTGCTCATTCTGAAACTCATCGTAGAGCACTAGGAGTACTAGGAATACGCTTTCCTTTGGGTGCCCTTTGTTTACCGAGTGTCAAAATTGCCTTTTGTTAATAATAAAGAAAACGGAACAACTACAGATTGTACATAGTCATTATATATAAAATTCACACAACCTCTATGTAAGCCAATTAGGGCTGGGTGATATAACCTCTTATAAAATCTTATTTAAAATCTGTATATCTCAATATTTACAGAATGTATTTGCTCTGAAATGGCTTGGAGGATGGAATTTTTTTCTGTCACACTTTATTTTAAGGTCCAACTCTCACCATTAACAAACCATTAACTATGATTTTTGCCTCAATAAACTCCTAATTTGCTGCTTATTGTTAGGTTTAGGAATTGGGTAGCGATGTGGAATATGGTCATGCAGAATATGTGCTTTAATAAACAGCCAATATGTTAATAATAGGCATGCTAATAAGCAACTATTCCTAACTTTTTCCTTTTTACTTAAAGTTTGTTAGTTTTTTATAGAAGTAGTCAGGTCCAGTTTTCCATGGTTTTTCACTAAATGAACAAGAAAATGTATATTTTATTTAAATGCATCTGTAAACTAATACATTACCTATATTTATTGTGCCATGCAGGAACTAAAGTAAACATGAGTGTTGTCACAAAAGAATCATTCAATCAGTTTTTAATTGATTCAATGAAATCAATGAATCAAACTTACGATCAGTCAACATTTAGTACATTACTGAACATCAATGAAGTTTAAATACACATTTCTGAGAGTGTAGTCAAAAAGTGATCGTGACAGACTCTTTAAGAAATGTAATGGCCAAATAAAAAGTGCTAATCATGCTAATTACGATATTTATGATTCATTGCTAATATATCGCCCAGCCCTGAAGCCAACTAAAACCTGCAAAGACAGAAGCGATAAAGGTTCACTGTAAATTTTGTCTGGTGCTTTCTAAACAAAGGTTTGCATTTTGTGGATTGCATAAATTCAGACAAGTTTTGAAATGAGTTGGGATGTTGAATAATAACATTGGTTCTCATGCTGCGAGGGTGTCTGACTCACTCTCTAGACGTCTCTGTGTGTTTTAGCTCGAAAGCAGGACATCATAAAGGTGACTGAACAGCTGATTGAATCCATCAACAACGGAGACTTTGAGAGTTACGCGTGAGTGAACGGTCAAACCTGTTGCTATGACAACCACAGAACGCTAATGCATTCCTTTATTTTCTCTTGATTACTGAGATTATATTTAATGGTCACCTTTTCACAACAGGTGCTCCATCTAGATTTAGATCCAAGCCTCACTTAATTACAGCTTTTGATGGGCAGAAATGGGAAGATTTCTAGTGTTTTTGTTTGTTTTTTACGAATGTCTGCACACAAATTAAGACTTTTAGCTTTACTTTCTACTCTATATCACAGAAAGATTTGCGATCCTGGTCTTACTTCCTTTGAGCCAGAAGCTTTGGGAAACCTGGTGGAGGGGCATGACTTTCACAGGTTCTACTTTGAGAATGGTATCTAGATCCATATCTTTTCACACTCAAAACTTAAAGAGAATATAGTTTTACAACAGTATTTTGATCACCGTATTTCTTTGTCATCTCCTTTAGCACTGTCCAAAGGTAATAAACCTGTACACACTATCCTACTGAACCCCCACGTGCACCTGATTGGGGAGGATGCAGCATGTATCGCGTACATCCGCCTGACCCAGTACATGGATGGCAGTGGGATACCACGCACCATGCAGTCAGAGGAGACCCGCGTCTGGCACCGTCGAGATGGCAAATGGCTGAACATACACTTCCATCGCTCTGGAGCCCCCAGCGTGCCCATCAAGTAAGACTCATAGAGTGTCTCTACTGTTTAATGTATGCGATAATAAATGTCATGATCACAAAAGGGTCATTCTCAGGAAAGTGCGTGAAAAGGTTTTTATCATTTCATTTGAAATGGTTTCTGCAGAGTCTGACCTTTCAAGAAATCAAAATTTGAAACACTTTTATTCAATGAGGATGCATTAAAGGGATAGTTCACCCAAAAAAGAAAATTCAGTCATTAATTACTCACCCTCCTGTCGTTCCAAGCCCGCAAGTCCGGGTTTCATTAAAAAATATCTTCATTTGTGTTGCGAAGATGAATGAAGGTCTTAAGGGTTTGGAACGATATGAGGGGGTGAGTAAATGGGTCATCGGATGCAAAATTCACTTTTACATCCTGTTTGAACATAAATGTGTGTTGGCAGTTTGTGTACACATCATGTACACACCCTATAATGATAAAAATCTACCCAGTGCTTTTTTGTAAATCCCCAATAGTAACGATTACTTTCTCAGATCAGGCTGTTCTGAGATTCTTGGCAGAGTGACCAAAGTCCCTTTCAAGGAAAGTCCGTTCACTCGGCCACCATATTTGCAATGCCTCCAGGCAGCTCAAACAAGACCAAGTCCAATCTAAATGAATGGGGGAATCCTGAAATCTCAAAAACTGCTTGCTGAACTTGTGATTAAATTACATATTTCAAATCAGCAACAAAATCTAAAATGAACTGCCCCATGAATGTTGTTTCTTATGCTCAAATAGCGTTTAAAAAGCTTATTTTTCAGGCTAGACCAGCCAATGCGCATGCGTAGTTCCAACGCGTTTATGACTGCGCACTAGACTTGTGCCGGTTTTCGGTAATGCGATATATCACGGTAATGAATATGCACGATATTGTTATCGTGGGCTCTTCTAAATACCGTGAATAATTACAATTACAAGTTATTCAGAATTTTGAATGCATTTTAAGAATACTTTTCCCATCAACTGGTCAAAATGCACAACATCGCTGTATGCTGCGTGAAAGACGCGTGTGCACTCTGATGTAAACAAGCGCGGACTAGAAGCACATGGCGGAACATGTGAGAGACGCTCTGGATGAAAGCGCACTTTCACTCTCTGACAGCAGATGGCGCTAAACTGCAGAAATAATAATAATAATAATAATAATAATTCATTTAAATGAATGCCAAGTTATCAATAAAGGTAAATTTAAACTTTAATACTTTGAATGAAAGTGTTGCCTGTGATTTTCTACCAGTAAACACTGCTCATTCTGAAACTCATCGTAGAGCACTAGGAGTACTAGGAATACGCTTTCCTTTGGGTGCCCTTTGTTTACCGAGTGTCAAAATTGCCTTTTGTTAATAATAAAGAAAACGGAACAACTACAGATTGTACATAGTCATTATATATAAAATTCACACAACCTCTATGTAAGCCAATTAGGGCTGGGTGATATAACCTCTTATAAAATCTTATTTAAAATCTGTATATCTCAATATTTACAGAATGTATTTGCTCTGAAATGGCTTGGAGGATGGAATTTTTTTCTGTCACACTTTATTTTAAGGTCCAACTCTCACCATTAACAAACCATTAACTATGATTTTTGCCTCAATAAACTCCTAATTTGCTGCTTATTGTTAGGTTTAGGAATTGGGTAGCGATGTGGAATATGGTCATGCAGAATATGTGCTTTAATAAACAGCCAATATGTTAATAATAGGCATGCTAATAAGCAACTATTCCTAACTTTTTCCTTTTTCCTTAAAGTTTGTTAGTTTTTTATAGAAGTAGTCAGGTCCAGTTTTCCATGGTTTTTCACTAAATGAACAAGAAAATGTATATTTTATTTAAATGCATCTGTAAACTAATACATTACCTATATTTATTGTGCCATGCAGGAACTAAAGTAAACATGAGTGTTGTCACAAAAGAATCATTCAATCAGTTTTTAATTGATTCAATGAAATCAATGAATCAAACTTACGATCAGTCAACATTTAGTACATTACTGAACATCAATGAAGTTTAAATACACATTTCTGAGAGTGTAGTCAAAAAGTGATCGTGACAGACTCTTTAAGAAATGTAATGGCCAAATAAAAAGTGCTAATCATGCTAATTACGATATTTATGATTCATTGCTAATATATCGCCCAGCCCTGAAGCCAACTAAAACCTGCAAAGACAGAAGCGATAAAGGTTCACTGTAAATTTTGTCTGGTGCTTTCTAAACAAAGGTTTGCATTTTGTGGATTGCATAAATTCAGACAAGTTTTGAAATGAGTTGGGATGTTGAATAATAACATTGGTTCTCATGCTGCGAGGGTGTCTGACTCACTCTCTAGACGTCTCTGTGTGTTTTAGCTCGAAAGCAGGACATCATAAAGGTGACTGAACAGCTGATTGAATCCATCAACAACGGAGACTTTGAGAGTTACGCGTGAGTGAACGGTCAAACCTGTTGCTATGACAACCACAGAACGCTAATGCATTCCTTTATTTTCTCTTGATTACTGAGATTATATTTAATGGTCACCTTTTCACAACAGGTGCTCCATCTAGATTTAGATCCAAGCCTCACTTAATTACAGCTTTTGATGGGCAGAAATGGGAAGATTTCTAGTGTTTTTGTTTGTTTTTTACGAATGTCTGCACACAAATTAAGACTTTTAGCTTTACTTTCTACTCTATATCACAGAAAGATTTGCGATCCTGGTCTTACTTCCTTTGAGCCAGAAGCTTTGGGAAACCTGGTGGAGGGGCATGACTTTCACAGGTTCTACTTTGAGAATGGTATCTAGATCCATATCTTTTCACACTCAAAACTTAAAGAGAATATAGTTTTACAACAGTATTTTGATCACCGTATTTCTTTGTCATCTCCTTTAGCACTGTCCAAAGGTAATAAACCTGTACACACTATCCTACTGAACCCCCACGTGCACCTGATTGGGGAGGATGCAGCATGTATCGCGTACATCCGCCTGACCCAGTACATGGATGGCAGTGGGATACCACGCACCATGCAGTCAGAGGAGACCCGCGTCTGGCACCGTCGAGATGGCAAATGGCTGAACATACACTTCCATCGCTCTGGAGCCCCCAGCGTGCCCATCAAGTAAGACTCATAGAGTGTCTCTACTGTTTAATGTATGCGATAATAAATGTCATGATCACAAAAGGGTCATTCTCAGGAAAGTGCGTGAAAAGGTTTTTATCATTTCATTTGAAATGGTTTCTGCAGAGTCTGACCTTTCAAGAAATCAAAATTTGAAACACTTTTATTCAATGAGGATGCATTAAAGGGATAGTTCACCCAAAAAAGAAAATTCAGTCATTAATTACTCACCCTCCTGTCGTTCCAAGCCCGCAAGTCCGGGTTTCATTAAAAAATATCTTCATTTGTGTTGCGAAGATGAATGAAGGTCTTAAGGGTTTGGAACGATATGAGGGGGTGAGTAAATGGGTCATCGGATGCAAAATTCACTTTTACATCCTGTTTGAACATAAATGTGTGTTGGCAGTTTGTGTACACATCATGTACACACCCTATAATGATAAAAATCTACCCAGTGCTTTTTTGTAAATCCCCAATAGTAACGATTACTTTCTCAGATCAGGCTGTTCTGAGATTCTTGGCAGAGTGACCAAAGTCCCTTTCAAGGAAAGTCCGTTCACTCGGCCACCATATTTGCAATGCCTCCAGGCAGCTCAAACAAGACCAAGTCCAATCTAAATGAATGGGGGAATCCTGAAATCTCAAAAACTGCTTGCTGAACTTGTGATTAAATTACATATTTCAAATCAGCAACAAAATCTAAAATGAACTGCCCCATGAATGTTGTTTCTTATGCTCAAATAGCGTTTAAAAAGCTTATTTTTCAGGCTAGACCAGCCAATGCGCATGCGTAGTTCCAACGCGTTTATGACTGCGCACTAGACTTGTGCCGGTTTTCGGTAATGCGATATATCACGGTAATGAATATGCACGATATTGTTATCGTGGGCTCTTCTAAATACCGTGAATAATTACAATTACAAGTTATTCAGAATTTTGAATGCATTTTAAGAATACTTTTCCCATCAACTGGTCAAAATGCACAACATCGCTGTATGCTGCGTGAAAGACGCGTGTGCACTCTGATGTAAACAAGCGCGGACTAGAAGCACATGGCGGAACATGTGAGAGACGCTCTGGATGAAAGCGCACTTTCACTCTCTGACAGCAGATGGCGCTAAACTGCAGAAATAATAATAATAATAATAATAATAATTCATTTAAATGAA